CTATGCGCAATACTAAAACTCTCCAGTAAGGTATAATCCCATACCGGCTGCAGCACTACATTGGGACAGTGAAGAGTGTTGTTTGCATTCGGAAATGACATTTCGCGAGCCAAGATCGCGAGCAGTTCCGCCATGCCCGCTGAGCAGGAGAATCGGGGGACCCTCACTAGAGCGCTTCCCGTTTCCGCCACGGGAGGGCGAGCGTCGAGCTGGAGACGCGAATAGGGAACGACCAAATAAGAGACCAGAAATAATCTCTTATATACACAAGATCTCTGATCATATGAAAAAGATAGCAGGGCGCTACCATTTGTGTTGTCTTTCGGACACCTAGTAAGACGTTGCAACTATGCACCACAGTGCCTGACAGAGGTGGGAGATTCAACAAATGTGCAGTACACCACAGGAATAAGTATATTCAGTGCTTCTGACACCCATTAACTATTTTGCTACAGAGTCTATATATTTTTAATAAAGCCCAAAAACGCAACTGCTCGGAACCGAAACCTAAACCAGCGCACTGAAAGAGTGAGTGGCAGAAGTCACGTGGTACACCTGACCGTGCGCTTTTTGTTGTTTTTCTTGGCAGAGCGCAGCACACGACGTGTTGCGGGAACCATTTGCCGTACGATTCCTTTGCAGTTATGTTTGTTCCGCTCGCTGTTCTGCAGTTCAAGATGAGTGGTTTTATACAGTGCAGAGTAGAAAATGAGTAGCGAGTGCCCGTGCTTAGTTTTCGTGATCGGCTCCGAAAATAATACCCCCAAGCTGTTGCGTGAAGAGCTGCCTCACATGTTCTGCATCCAAAAGTGGCATTGTGCTGCAGAGTCTGCACAAGTTTCCAAAAGATCAACGGAATCAAAACAAATGGCTGGCTCCAATTCCTGTAGAACATTACGGGCACCTCGGAAAGCGGACGCTGCCCAATTTATGTGATGCTCCTTGCATTTTGTAGAAAGTGACTACATTGAGTTCGCAGGTGTCAAACAGGAAATCCCTTTCCATTTAGTTCAGCGACGTTTCGTCCACAACATATGTAATTTTCAGTGATAATTGTAAAAAAATATCTCACAATGTTTGACAAAAAAAATAAAGAAACAGTACGCCCACACTTGGGATTGAATTCGCGTCCACTGCGTATGAAGCAAACATCCTTCCACTGGGCTATTGGAGAAACTCTCCGTAGTAACGCAGGCGGTCGACTGTAGGTCGGAAAGTTAGCTGCCAATTTCCCTCCAGCAAAAGAACCACCGGCTAGAAGTCGGCCAGCAACACGCATTGGTCACATTCGCACCTAGTTAAGAAATCGTAAATGTGCATATTCAACTCGAAGTACGCACTTCGCGCTGGACATTTCCGCGAGCGATGTCTTCAGCCACGAGAACGGGGCGATGCATGGGTCAGCGACGTCTTTGTGCAAATAGGCTTGGTGGTCGGGCGTGTCGTACGGGGAAAAATACCAATTCTTTTGATCGGTCCAAAATTTCTCTTTCACAGGCAGACAGAATTCGCCGGTACCGCCAACAAAAGTTCTGAAGTAGAGATCCTACGCCCGTCGTCCGCTGCCATCGCCGTCCAGCGGCCCCGCGAGTCCCACGATACGCGAAACGATGCCATTTTGACAATTACGCAGTGAACGCACAGAATGCTTACGGTTCTCTGTGCAACTTTTTTTTCAATCAATGTATTTGCAGCTTTTTAAAAGCCAGAAAAAATGGGCCTCATATTTTTTTCTGTTTTTAATAGTGAGTAAGTCCCTTCAATGACCCAGACTTTGACTAAATTTGGTGGCTGTGTCTAAACTAGTGAAGGGCCGAACTTTTGCCAAATTGAAAATTCAGTGCCGAATCTTGGGATTCGGCAAAGCTAAAGTTTGCCGAACTTCTCTAAAGATTCCGCAAAAATACATTGTTACCAGATTGAACATTGACATTTGGTTTTTACTGGTAAAAAGAGGTTTTATGTTTGTTTTTTTCTTGACTTAAATGCAACATGTAATGAATATTGAAACAGTTATTACAAAATAATTACTGAATTATTCTTCAAGATAACTATATTGGTGTCGTTTTTGTGTGTTTACTGGTAATTTTACAGTGACTTCTTGCATAAGTGGTGCAACGTATGAGGTTGGGTAGTAGCAGACGCAGTCAAAAATCCTGCTACGAGTGTTTCGGTTTTGAGACCTCATCGGTGCAAGCCTGCAAGTGTGTGTACTATCACGGACTCTGGTAGCTGTAACTGGAGCACTACATAGCTCCTATGGAGCAGAGTAACGCAATCCTTTGATCTGCATACTTTGCCAATAACATGGCCAACAGAGCAGCTCAGCGCGAGTCATGTGGTACTCAGGGTTCCAGGAGGCGGCCCGCCCTATGGGAGAATATATAGAAATCGACGCAACACGGCTAATTAAAAATAAACGCCAAGTTAACACTTTTCGAAACTAGTCTGTCGTGAAGTTGGTAAAGCAGTAAACACTTTATCAAAGTTTTCATAATATCGGATGCGTGTGAAAATTTTGAGAAGGCAATTTGCAAGGTAACGGCGTTTGAAGCAGACGATTTTTGTACGCAGGAAATATGGACTTTCTAGGTTGGCCGGAGCGGGTCACGTGGATAATGCGACGTCGCCGTGACGTCACTACGTCGTCTACTGCCAATATTTTTTTTTTTTAATTACGTCCTTACATGGCATGCAATTTAGCGCAAATTATTCTAAAATGTTCCTTTATTATGTCAAAAACTATTGACGTTCCATACATCCCCACAATATTGAGGAAACAAAGATTTTCTCACGTTCCCCATGCATTTCTGATCCGAGTTGGAACCCCCGGGCGTTCGTCACTAGTCGCCGAGAGATGGAGTTCTAGATTGCGCTACTCTGCTTCAAAGGAGCTATATAGTACTCTAGCTGTAACATGCGAGTTGTGGCCATCCCGCACCCCGAGCGTTGCATAGCAGGCGCCGTCTGAAACCTGGCCCGTGCGCCGTGTGGTAGACTCGCTCTTCCAGCCAGCGAGCACACCTCCGCTTTGTCGTCTGCTAGGTGTAGAGCAGACGACGCCACGGCGTCCTCTGCCAATGTTTGCTGAACACGGTTTCGTGGGCAAATATTTAGGCACACATCAACTATCAGCTGTCTCTGCTCGTTTGATATTCTCGTCATAACAAACTGGTGTCGAACTCATTCTAGGCAGGCAATGTTTATTGGAGCAGATTGCAAAGTCATTATGGCATAAACCCTGTCTACTTTTTTTTTTTTTATTGCTTTCTTTAAAAGCAGTAGTGCGCAATGCACATTTCAACAATACACGTTCGCAAACCAGCATGAATGCAGCAGGTACGACTCAGGAATAGACCGTCCGCTGCAAGTTTGACCGAGAGAAATAAAACAATCTGCCGTGATGCATACAGTTGTGATGATTATCCTCAGTCAGGCGGACGTATATCCGTGAGTAAGATAATCAATCACCGTGCAAGAGGCACACGCGAAACCCAGGGCACCTCTTACTCACCTCTTACATGGTGGTTCGCTGAACACGAAACAGTGTTCAGCGAACATTGGCAAGTGCTGTGACGTTGTCTGCTCTGCACCTAGCAGACGACAAAGTGGAGGTCTGCTCGCTGGCACCTGCTATGCGGCGCTGGGGGTACGGGATGGCCGCCACTCACGTGTTACAGCTGAAGGAGTCCGCGATAGTACATTGTTAAAATAAAGGCAATAACACTGCGTTCTTCCTTTCTCTGGGAGTAACCGCTTCGTGTGTGAAAACGAATGCAACGGTTGCTGAGCCTTCACCGAAAGAGATCACAGTATTATTGTAAATATGCATGTTTTTTGATTTGAGTCACTTGACATTAGCTTTGCATGAAAGTCTGCGTCCCATATTCACAACTTCTCGTTTTTAACCTTTAAAATGCCGGTTTCTGATGTTAGGACACACAAGGATCTTTAGGGAGATGAGAAGAGTTAGGAATATGGGATGTGCAACGTCGAGCATGATAGTTCTGTCTAGTTTTATGCACACATGAAAACCGCAAAATAATGCTATTTATATAAAAAGCAATATTATGTTGTTTTGGCATAGACTACTTATGAGCCGAAAACAGGATTTTTAATTGCGACGAGTGCTTTAAAGAAATTGTCAGTGAATGTTTCAGCTACCTCGTACCACTGGAAAGGTCAAATGAAAATTACGTTATTAAGGATGTACCTCATCCATTGTCACATGCGCAGTGGACTGCGTAAATAACTGGTCGATCTTCTGTTCTTGAGGCAGAAAATATTGAATACCACACTCGCAGAGGCTCCCAAATGCACAATTACCGTGTTGTCCACTCTACACTTCGCCGTAACCGCTGGTTGTACTGCACTGTGCGATGGTAGCCGCACGACGTTCTTTTGCAATCTATGGGCCATGGCCCCGTCGCGTTCTCGCGTGTGTGCAGACATTTACCGAATTTTTGCCGAATCTTTGCCGAACTTTCCTTCAAAAATTTTGAAATTCTTGCCGTGACCACGGAGAAGACAGTGAGCGCAACTCAAAGCGGCCAGTTCTCGATCGGCGGTTTTCGGGCGGAAAGAAATTCTGTGCTGGGTAGTTGGGCTCTCATATGTCACGTACAACTAAAAACCTCGGCGAGCATAAATACCCTGTCAGTGTCCCTTTAAATGTTTAGTTGAAGTCTCGTCCTGTTTATTCCTCCCTTTGTCTATTTTTTGCGCGCTGCTATCAGTTTGTAATCGTTACCCCAACTCGTCTGCATCGCTACATTGCTCCATTACTCCTTTACCTGCGAGTCTTCTTTTAATTTTATTTGGTCCGTGTATTGCCGAGGACACTCAGGCGAAGAGCCGTTTTTACGACTTCAGATGACGCTACTCGTGCGAGAAAATTCTAGAAAATTCTAGGAAAATTCGACGTGGAAGCAGTCTCACATAAAGTGACGGCCGTGAGCAGGGCCTTGCGGAACCTAACGATTCAGTCTTGGGAACAGTACCTGTTTCTTCAGTAGAGAAGCCTTTGAACGTGAAATCAACTTCACGTTTCACGGTCACCGTTTCATGCGATGCGGTTGTTGTTGCTGAAAAAAATGTCAAACAAGCGGTGGATCAAACAACACGGCTGAAGCTGAAACGTTTGAATCGGGCGGCGTCTCGCGCCCTCTGCGTTACCTAACGAGCGTCTGTTGCGAACCGGTATAAACCGCTGCGTGACTTTCTTTTTTCTTTTTTTTTTTTACTATTTGGTTATATATTGCGCGTTTTTATAAAAATTATTATATTTAAAAACAGAAACTAAGGCAGTCCTCGAGCCCGGGGAACCGGCCATCACGGTGTCAAGTGTAGAATCAGTGCAATCAGGGGTATCGTAAGTTGGAAAGCGAAACCAAAACAGCGGACGACAGACGCGCGTTGTGTGGAGCTGCAGCCCGCCGAGGAAATTGAAGGGCGTTGCGGGGGCAGTGCGACATCAAGTCCAGCGTCGAAGGGACGCTTTGCAGAAACCCTCCGCCTTAAGGAAGACCCTGCTTTCATCATGACGGCAGTGACAAAGACCAGGCAATACGGTGGGTTCGCGCAATGCAGCGACTGGGGAATTAAGGTGGGTTCTTTTGGAGGAATCGCCCTTTAAATGACTCAAAGAAGCAGCTACCTTTATTTAACACTGTAAAAGTGCAATTGCTTCAGATAGCACATTTCTCTTGATCAGTGAACGATGTTTAGCTTCGGTATATTTCAGTCCCAAAGCTGTGTTCCACAGCAGGTGTGTAAAAACAAGCAACGATTATAAAGAAAAATAACAACCGAAAGGAATATAGTGTGTTCAAGGTACGCCAGAATTCCGGCGGAGCTTATATACCAGGGGTGGCCAAGCTGCGGCTCGCGAGCCGCAGCTTGGCCGCCCCTTATATATAAGCCGCATGCGCGAGCCGCATGCGGCTCTTCGCATGCGGCTCGCAGCTCCCTCCCCTACCCCCCCCGCCCCCCTCCCTTCCCCGCCACCCACCCGGTCACACGAGAACTAATGCAACGCGCGTTTTACATCGCAAGGCAGGTTGCGGTTTGGTAGTCGTGTGCTACCTTGCGTACAAATGGACTGTTTTTGACTCTGATAAATTGAAAGAAGTTCGAGTTTCGTTAATACTTTTCTAAACAAAAGTTTGCGGCCCCCCCCCCCCCCCCCCCCTGCGGCTCTTGGAAGTTTCCTGGTTTTGTTTGCGGCACTTAGGCAGGGTCAGCTTGCCCCCCCCCCGTTATATATTGTTAATATGCAATTCCTGACACTATATGAAAATGCATCTTTACGAGCCATTGAACACATTCAAAACGTAAAGAATAAAGTATGTGAACCAGGAAAGGTCTCTCTTTTCTTTTTTTCTTTCCTTTCTATGCTCGGGAGTTATTATTACGCACTTGTTCTCAAAGGTTTCGAGCATGCGGGTGACGTTTCGAACATAAAACAAGCATCTTAGCACAGAGCAGAAAGAAAGCAGTACTTATCGAAAATCTGACTACGTATTACGTGGCCTACATTTTATTTCGACCATTTACCACAGGGAGCTCGTCTTCCTTGGTTTTCCAGATGTCATTCCTTGGTTTGACACGTACGTCCCCCATGCAGGAAAGGGTCGACGAAGTGTTCGTACGGTTCGTACCAACAGTGTCCGGCACATAAATATATTTATGAAGCAGTTTTAGCACCATTTTAATGCACTGAATTCAAAAGGAAAAACACTGTAACTGACTAATTATTTCATCTGCCTGACTGAGAAATGTTTCAAGCTACCTAGTACGTAGGAATTATTCGGGATATTTGCTTTTATAGCAGAGCGCAGTGAGAAAATGCACTCGCTTTTTCCCACAGAAATGCATTACCGGAAGTAAATTTTTGACTGGTTGCCGTCTGCTTTTAATTTGCGACAGCACACTAGCGCCGGTTGGACCTCTAGCGTCCATTATCATAACTCGATTAACTCGATGATCAGAGCTCGGTCGGCTCGGTGTTTCGACCTCCCCACCCATTCTCGTGTCCTCCTCTGCCTCCGTTTCTTGGCACTACTTGGCACACAGGTCGAGAACCCTTTGGAGTCTCGTGGACCTTGAGCATGCAACCGTTACGAAGTAACGCCGGAAGACATGGAGCGCGTGCTGGAGGCAGGGTGTTCGAAAGACACGCGCCGACGTTCTCGTTTTGTCAGCGATCCTACGTCTTTCTTGGCTTCAGCAAATCCAGGGTGAACCCAACGCCTCTCAACTCGGCACAATTTGCAAACGACCGGGACTCTGCATCTTACTTGGTACGTGCATCTGTTGTCATTTCCCAGATGCCCTGTAACCATGTATTAGCTGTCGTATTCCTTAAGCTCGGAAAGTGAGCAAAAAACACTGCAACTCCTACAACGACATCCAATCTATAAATTCTGGAGAGGAGAGCCAGGAGCCACAACTACAGCCCAAGGAACAAGTGTCTGGTACAAAAAAATATTGTGGTAAAAAGAGTGAAAGATAGTGAAGGCTGAAAAGAAGCAACTGTCGTTAAACAATGTGCAATCACAAACACGCCTGTGCTGAGAAGTATCAGCGCCATAAAATCAGTTCATAGTTCTAGACTCCCATATCTCTTTTCCATACCATTTGAGAATGCAGCACTATGTCTTCACATGCATTAAAAAACCTTACTGAAAATAAATCACCTCAAGAAGCCCCCCACTAAGAGGGGCATGGGGGCCCTCCCCCCCTCTCTCGAGCTCTTTGGAAAAGCAAGTACCATAGCCTCGGGAACCTCTGGGTGCACCTCATTAATCTCATCTGTGCGCCCTGGTGCCTGCACATATCGATAGTTGGCACCCAGTGGATAAATAAAAATTTATCCACTCACCAGCTCTGGTCATTAAGTAACCACAGCTGGTGAGTGGATAAATTTTTTTTTTTTTGAACTATTCGCACAGTCATGTTCGAAGACCCTACATAGTATTAGCAAATACAATAAAGTTTAGTGCTGAAAATTCCTTCGAAAGCCATTCAAAGTAGTTGCAATTGACGACAGTGGCACATCTAGTGGACCTGCAGCCTATGCAGTAGATGACCCAACACGTTTTGTAAGCCCCCGCAGGGGGCACCTGTGAAAGCAGGTGCTTGGAGAGTTGCGTCTCCACGGACCCCGAGCTCCGCAGGGGGCGCCTGCACCTTAGGTGCTAGGTGCTTGGTGAGTAGCGTCACCACGGACCCTAGCCACTTTGGCGACACCACAGACCCTGAGTAAAAGTGGCTAAGACCCACCCACGTCTGGCTGTGCGTGGCGAGCCCGTGTCCAGGGAAAAGGGCATCCTGGTGGTTGAGCTGAGCCCGGGGTAGGTTTGGACCCTTCGGGGCCCCCCGGGCGAGGCAACACACCACTTTGGCCCCTGCTTCCTGTAGACTGGTGTCCTGGCTTGGCCCGACCAGGATGATTCAGTCAGTCGCCATTTCTTCTACTATCCCCTCTTTTCTTTCTCTTTCCTCCTTTCTCCTACTCTTCGTTTCACCTTCTTTGGCGGCAAGGGCTAACCTTGGGTGGCGACAGAACACTCTCTTGATTCACACTTGGTTATAGCTTCCTAGTAGCACTGGTAGAGTAACATACTCAGACAAGCCAGACCTGTTATGAGATGTTACCTATCCCCTTGTTGGACTCCGCGGTGGGTGGTGCGCTACGGATGCCGAAGTTTCTGCCCTTCATATGGGTTCCAAGCAAAAAACCTCCCCCGATCGGACCCTGAAAAGGGTCCGGACCGAAGTATTTAGCAAAGAGACATCAGTTGCTGCCCAGAATAGCTTCAGCCGCTTTCTGGTAATGCACTCAGAAAATGGAAAACCACTTGCCAAACTTTCACCGTTTCTTATTTCAAAGACTTTAGAAAACCTAATTGGTAAAAACTTCAAAGCAAAGAAACTAGCATCTGGCGACTTGCTTGTTGGGGTGGAAAACGGAGTGCAAAGTGTTGTTCTTTTAGACTTAAACAAGATCTCGGACTACAAAGTATCTGTCACCCCACATCGCACCTTGAACAGCTGCCAGGGCGTCATCTCAGAGGACGACCTGCTGGAGTCTAGCGAAGAGGAGATCTTGGAGGGCCTTTCCGGGCAGGGTGTGGTCGCCGTGCGAGGCATCTTCATACGCAGAGACGGACAGGAGAGACCATCGAAGCACTTAGTCCTCACTTTTGCTTCCACTGTGCTGCCCGAGAACATCAAGGCAGGCTATCTTCACTGCAAGGTGCGCCCCTACATACCAAACCCGAGACGATGTTTCAAATGCCAACGATTTGGTCACAGCTCTGTTACCTGTCGTGGGAAAACGACATGTGCAAAGTGCGGAGCTACGGACCATCCAGCTGACACATGCGAGGGTACACTTCTCAAGTGTGTCAACTGCTCTGGTGCCCACCCCACTTACTCTCGAGCCTGCCCAAAGTTTCAGGAGGAAAAGAAAATCCTAACACTAAAAATCAAAGAAAACCTCACGTACCCTGAAGCAAGGAAGCGATTTTTCTTCCTCCAAGGAGGCACCTATGCCGAGGCGGCTGCCAGGGGGGCAGCGCCGCCACTAAAGGCAATGGTGGGCACTCAGTACAGTCTTCGCGACTTGGAGTGCTCACCCAGCCCCCCAACCACCAGCGAGGCCTCTGTGGGTTCTCAGACCCCAGCGGCCCTGCCCAAAGCCCCACGTGCCAGGACGGTTCCCCATCGTCCTGGCCCTAAGCCCCGAGTGGTGCTTGACACCACTCCCTCTCAGAGCAGCGAGGGGCCCACTCCTTCCACTTCACAGCGGGAGGAGGAGGCCATGGAGGTATCTGTTGATCCAACAGAACCACCTCCACCCGCCAAGGGAAGTACAAAGCATACCCCCGAAAAGGGGGACCACAAGAAAAAACCTCCTCGAGTCACTGCCCCGAGTGTACCATAACTTGTGTCCACTCACAGCTGTGAACCCCACAAGTTTAACTATAATTTAATTAATCTGTGATGAGTCATTTTAGTTTCATGCAGTGGAACTGTCGGGGTCTCCTTCATAATATAGATGATGTTCACTTTTTACTAA